GATATCAAGGGATGTGGGGCAAAGACCCATATTTCTCCCACAAAATATCCAGTCAATTCAATTTACAGCATATCCCGTGAAGTGCTTTCAGATGTCTCAAAGACGTGATAAGGCGCTGTATCAAAATGCAAGGATTATTATTATAGTATTATTATTATCAAGTAGGCATTCACCACAATTTGACGGCCCTAGCCTGCAGACGGTCACTCCACATCGCAACCCATTATTCGTTCCAGATGAATGTCATGTGGTATCTTGCAACAGAAGCCGAGCTTGTAAAAAGATAATTATAAGCTCCCGGCTAGCACACAGTCGTTTTATAACCTCCAATTCATTTTAAACACAGTGGCCTAATCTTAGGGGTTGCTCGGGATTTCCTCTCCAGGTTTAAGATGTTTATCTTTAACAGGCAATGGGATTAAATGGCTTGTAACTCACGTGGCTGTAAGAAAGCCAAAGATCTAAGAAAATAGTGCCCTTTCTTATTCCATGACTGTGAGAACACACTTTTATCAAACAGTCGGACCTGGAAAAGCAAATTTCTCCACCAAACGCATCAATCAACTGAGTCCATTTGAAGGTCTGTGTTGCTGACGTGCTGAGGAAATCTCGAACTACTGCCCCAAAATTGGTTTGTACCATCTCAAGAGACTACTAATAAAACCTTGAACGATAAGTAAGCTCGTTATTTATTAAATGAATCCAAGGGAAACATTAATGTGAGGCTGGCTGAAGAGAGGCGCATGCAATTCCGAGGGGAAAATAAATTATGTTTAAAATTAGTGAGTCTGAGCCCTGCATAGAGACTTTTGAGCTCACAGACTAGCAGCAGCTCCACCACATCACTGGGGGGGCACTTGTTAAGTGATGCCATCTTTTAGGTGAGATAAAAAATGCAATTCTGTCTGCCTGATCTTCAGGTAGAAGGTAAATAATCCAGGGTCCTGGCCAACAATCCTCTGGATAAAGTGGTCCTTCCCGTCATGTCTCTTTGCGAGACGTTGCTATGCACAAACGGCATCTGTGTTTGACTGTCACAACCACTATAGCTCACGGTAATTACTATAAAGTACTTTGAGATGTTACATCATATAATAATAATAATAATAATCCTCGCATTTGATATAGCGCTTTTCACGTCGGGAGGACGTCCCAAAGCGCTTCACAGAACACACTGTAAAGTGAACTGACTGTATATTTGTGGGCGAACGCGGCAGCCAATTCATAATAAATAAGGAGCTTTGCAAATGAAAGTACTTTCAAATTGAAGGCCTTCAGCCTCTCTGACCCCACCCTTTGGAACTCCATCCCACAGTCCCTTAGCCTCATTCCCTCTCTTGGCTCCTTCAAGGATAGTCTCAAAACCTTTCGTCTTTGACCTTTTGGATCTTCGCGCCTTTGGACCCACAAGTGGAACCATACTCCAGTGGAGAGGAAAAGGAGTCAATGAGATTGAAAGACAACATGAATAGACTTATCTGGGTTTGAATAGATAATTCGGTATCTAGCAAAAAGTAAATCCAGCATCCCAAATAGTTCCTTATGAAAAAAAATCACACAGCATTTGCGGTGAACGCTATTATAACAGGACACAATCGTAGGAAACACAAGGGCTGCCAGAATTTCCTGGATATCCAACAAATGAAAAACAGTGAAACAGCCTATGCAGAAGAGTTAAAGATAGGGAAGAGCTTGACAGTGCAGATCAGATTCAAAATTTGTTTTGATAATTCTTACACCCGCTATCTATCATGGCGGGGGATGGAATAGGGGCAGAGCAAACACAGAACAACAGGAATACCTCAGAGAATAGCTATCTGTCAGATAATTTTTCTATTAACAGCAGCCTGCAAGTCCTCACCGAAAGACATGCTGGATTCGAAAACGGAACAATTGAAAGAATTCCTCTTTCTCATACCAGTTCCTAGTGGATATAAGTTCACCGACTAAATTTGGTCACAAACTGTACGTGGATCTGGTCGCTGTACAAGGATTACAGCGATTGAGAGGATACGGAGGAGAGCAACCAGAATGGTTGAGGGGATGCAGGTTCTGGGCTATGAGGAGGAGCGATTGAGAAACCTCCCCACCCCACCCACCCTCCACCCTTCCAGAAAGAGAAGGTCGAGAGGCGATTATGACAGTGGTTTTTTAAGTTTCTACTAGATAATGTAGAAAATGAGAAGCTGTTTTATCGTGTACTGAACAGTAGAAACAGAAGACACGGCCTGCGATCGAAGTGCGGTGTAAATTCAGAACGGATCTGCGGAAACACTACTAGGGAGACGGACGGACGGATGGTGGGAGCAGAAAGTGTTGATTCTTTCCAGAAAAAATTTGAATAGATTTCTGTTAGCGAATAATATCTGGTGGGGGGGGGGGGGGAGGTGGGGGGGTGTGGGGGGAAGTACAGCATATAGTTCAGGACATGACGTGCGCGTGCGATTGCCATAAAATATGTGCCGGAACCTAGACTAAACGCACGCATTCCACATCACGAAACCACGACCATCTGGCTCAAATAGTAAGCAAAGCCGAGACAGAATAAAAGGGAGAGCTGTGTGTGTGTGTGTGTGTGTGTGGGTGTATGTCACACATCGCTAAGCCCACAAATCTCATCCCTTCAACACTTCAAGACGTCCCATCCCACACCCACAGACCCCGGCATTGCCTTCCCATTTCTTGTCTTTTCTTTTTCGCGGACAGCTGATCTGAGATCATGCTAAATCATTGGAGAAGACCAAATTAGGTTCAGACAGAATTACAAACGCTACCAACATATACGGGGGAAGGGGCGGGTGGGGGGGGGCGGGGGGAGAGAGAAGGGCATCATTAATCATAAGCACAGCTGTGGTACGCACAGAGAGTTTGCAGCTCATCCCGATCTGTGCCAAACAAGCGCCTCGAGCATTTCTGAGTCCCCCTCCCTCTCCTCCCTCCGCTCCCCCACTGACAACCCACCCGCCCGCACCTGCTTCACACAGCTGCCGCTGTGCCTGTGCTGGCGGGTCAGGCCGGGGATAAGCAGATACCAGAGAAGCAGAGTTCAAAGCGGAATAACATAGCTGCGTATACAGCAAAGACGTAATCTTCACAACCCCACGGCAATTCGATCGCTGTCGAAGTGATTCTATTTCTGCTCAAACACGAAGCACTGGGATTAGCGGTCCAAACTCACCTCTCCCTTCCTCCCAACCACCCCCCCCACTCCTTGAACCAATCGATGTGAGTTACTGACCACAACAACTGACTACCCTCTGTTGATAATAATCATTGCATTTGATATAACGCCTTATCATGCCATTGAGACGTCTCCAGGCGCTTCTCAGAGTATACTGTCAACTGAATTGACTTGTGTATGTTGCGGGCGTCGCAGCAGCCAAATGCGCACAGCAGCGTCCCCACAAACAGTCCTGGATTGAGTGAACCAATTATTAGTTTATTTTTGAAGGGATTATTATCCTGCCAATTGATGAGCAAGCGGGTTTCTACTTACTGCTGGGTAAACACAGGCGCGCGTGTGTGTGTGGAGTAAGGAAAGGTTTCGCCCTGACCCGCCGGGGAATCAAACCCGGGTCTTCTCACTTGCGAGGCGAGTGCTCTAACCACTGAGCTACAGGATTCTATATTATATATAGTGTAGCGTTCTGAAGGCTTGTGTACAAATGTAGGAACGAACAGCTGAAGGAATGTAAATAGCAGAGCTAATAATGCGGCTGTGGGAGACTACAGAAAAGGGTGGGGCGAAATCATGAAGGGCTTTGAAGGTCAGACTGCATTATTCCTCAGCTACTAGACAACAGAGCGAGATCTGCTTTCACTATTGTGCAACTAGCATAGATAACAGAAAATACAGCACTAATGCTGCCAGTAATTTCCACTATCATACCCCCACGGTTTACTTACACCCTGCGGGCAACTGAACACTGACATGAACCACCACGCCGCAGATTTAGTTAACATCTCGGTGCAGTCAAACAAACGTGCCGAAACCCACAGAATGTTAGTTTTGTGGAATATACTGTTGCCATACGAGGAGAGGAGATATTCTCTACAGTGATTTTACAGTCGGATTTCATGACAACTGTGTCGCACAGTTAATCGAACTATTTCTGCAATGGGTTAGTTAGGTCAGAGTGCTCCAACATCCAGCTCGGCGGACGATTTCATCGGCCCGAGACCATTGCCAGCTTGGACCACCTGCTTCCTCCTCTCCTCCCCTCTCCGACGAACCATCCAGGAGCCAGCGGTTCAGCTGTAGTCTCTGACCTCTCTCTCTCTCTCTCTTCCCCCCATCCCCTCCCCGTTGAATACCATGCCACCCGCTCACTGCCGCAGCTCAGAAGTAACGAGGAGAGCTGCCAACGGAACCACACCCAGTCTGAATCAGCCAGTGACTTCAGGAAAGAACTGGAGGAAATTGACGACGAAAGAGAGTTTGGGGTGGGGGAAAGAATCATAATGATGCCTCAAAGACTGTTAACGCAGCAGACAAGAAGCCTATGAGAACTCCCACAGCAGCAAACACACAAAATATGGAACACACATCCAAATCAGTTCCTTGCTTCAGTGTTTAGCACGCAGCAGGAACGGAAGACATCAGAGAGCTTAATGACTCACGCTGCAGCTATTGACCGTGACTTGCCAGTGAGTCGCTGCTGAGTCATCTCAGGTTTTCGCCTAGAAACCTCAATAAAAGGGTTTTTACTTTGTACTTGATAGCAATAACTAACTGTGAGGCCCTTTGAGACGTCGCGACATTATAGATAGGCACTTTCCAGGTATTAAAATAGAATAGATCTATTCTGGAGAGCAAGAGGTGTCAGCCTGGCGCTCGTGCCTCTGAATGAGAAAGCTGCAGGTTCGAGCCCCCAAGCTGAGTCTTTGAACTCCTCATATCTCTCTTCCTCTATTGCCCCCGTCTTGTCACTTCCTTCCCCATCTTCAGGTCGTGCCTGAAGGCCTTTCTTTGGAGATTACTGAGAAACGTAAATACTAACCCAACATTCAGATGATCCACCAGCGCTTCGATGAGACACGTGGCGGCTGCAACCGCCTCCCTCCTTCTTTTCTCTGAAAGGAAAAACACAGTAAGAGACTACATTCAGTTGATAATAAAAGCAGAAGATGCTGGGGACACGCAGCAGGTCAGGCAGCATCTATGGAGAGAGGAAAGTGAGTCCATAGATGCTGCCTGACCTGCTGAGTGTTCCCAGCGACATCTGGTTCTTATGTCAGATTTCTAGCATCTGCAGTATTTTGCCTTTTATACTGCATTTAGTTGCTGTTTGACACATGCCGGAAGCCCATCATCACATTTAAAAGTATCCAAGCTAGAGTGAAAAGATCCAAGCTATCACCCACCCCACCGCCATTCCCCAGAGGATCGAGGCACTTCACAGTATTTACAGAGAAGTGGAGTGACTGTGCACTTGTAGCCGGACGCGGGCAACCAATAGCACACAGCAATTCAAATGTCCTCAACCGACATCCATACACACCCAGCTGCGATTCATCGGGAGCTGAAAACCTGGTTCATTTTCCCTCTCGGTCTTCTGACCTGTTGGGAACATGTTTAAAGTAGCATCCTAATTACTGTGTCTGGGAGGCCCTGGAGCCAATCGTATTCTGTAACAACGCTGCTCGCCAAAAAACAAGGAGGACAAAAATTCAAATAAAATCTGTTCACACTGGGACCCACGTGACTGACAACCGTTTTAGGAAATGTTTTTCCCACGGCATCAGACGAAACATGTTGGCCGACCCTCAACGCTTCTGCCCAGAGAATAACTTTGCTCTCCCGGGGGTTTTAAGAAATGGCCAACTTAAGAGAAGCTGCGGAGAAACAGCTTTTGTTTATCTTCCGCTGAATGCAGGGCTGCATTGGATAGCGTAACAGATAGCTAGAGTTTCAGTTTTTGTTCCATTAAAAAAAATGCGGTGCCACAAGTACATTGCTATTGATCGGGAAAGGGGAGAGAGAAAGGGAGAGAGAGAGAGAGAGAGAGAGAGAGAACACTGATAATGGCCCTATCACAATGGCCCTTCACTCTCCATCTACTGCGTGCATTTCACTTAATCTCAGTTGAATTTTTAATTTCGATTTTAACCACTGTGTGTGGGTCGCTGCTGCCCGCAACTAACTGGCTGCCGCGTTTCGCCCTCCTTACAGTGTATTCTGTGAAGCGCTCTGAGACGGCTCGACGACGTGATGAGGCGCCCTACCCGGGAATTGAACCAGGGTCCTCTCACTACTACTATTATTGTTATTGTTGTTATTATTATTATTATTATTACTACGCTTTAGGACTCCAGCAGCGTTCTGCGGGATGGTGGGGTGGGTGGGGGAAGAGGATAAAATGCTGGTGGTACGGCTGCCAAACCACTCTGGGAAATAACTACACATCGATGTGGTACCACCCGCTCGGCTCTCAAATATCAGTCCCACTGGTGTGGTGGGCGTGCATCCAGGGAGCGACACCCAGATACAATTCAAGGCTAACGCACCGGCAACGGAATTCCAGATGTGAGTGAATGACGAGCTTTTTACTCGTGGTATACCGTATCAATTAACGTGGACGGGAAAATCTGTGCTGCTCGACGAGTTAAGAAGAGGGAGGGAAAGTGATACTGTGTGAATCAGGTTTCTCACAGTACACAGCATTACTCGATCGCCCATTTCCAGTCACAGCGTTAGGCCATCACTTTCTGGCAGTGTTTTGACACCAGGCAGCCCCTGGAATATTGCCATCAGGTTTCAGAATACACAGCCATTTGATATTTCCCAGATGGAGACTTAAGATATAATCTATAATTTGATATTTGTTCGCTCGATACTGAGAAGCTGCAGGCGATGCAACTTCCAGGGACACAGCACTGATGTAGATCTGTCCGTGCAGACCTGACCGCTCCGTCCACTCAGCGGGCTCCAGCCTGCCCCCTGCCCCGTCCACCCCACCATCAGCAGTCGGGCCTTCAGCCTCTCTTCCCCCAACCGTTGGAACTCCATCCCACAGTCCCTTCACCTCGCTCCCTCCTTTGCCTCCTTCAAGGCGCGAGTCAGGACCTTCCTCTTTGACCGCGGCTTCGGTCACCTTCGTTTCGCCCACAAATATACAGTCAATTCACTTTACAGTATATTCTGTGAAGCGCTTTGGGACGCCTAGAAGACGTGAAAAGCGCGATATATCAAATGCAAGGATTATTATTATTATTATTCTCAAAATCTCCCCCTTCCTGATGCCAACCCCCAGCTCGGGTACATTCCCCTGACTGCCCAGCGCCTTGGGACGTCCGCCTGACGTTAAAGGCGCTGTGTAAATGTCATTTGTTGTCGTCGTTGATAGCAGCCATTGCTCATCACAAAAATAAACCAGTGGTAACATAATCCACGGTCCACTTGACCCTCTGTTCCTGTGTGTCTGTTAGTCTCCATTAATTGCGCATCTACCTACTAGTTCCTAAGAACAATATACTGTTCAAGCAGAAAGTTTAGCCCAGAATCTGCGGTGAGAGAAAATGAAATTGCTCTATCAATCTGTCAGGCCTTCCTCTGTCTGCGTTCACCAATAGTTATTAAACAAATATGTGATAACATACACATGTCCTGTGGAGTCCTGTAGCTCAGTGGTTAGAGCACTCGCTTTGCGAGTGAGAGACCTGAGTTCAATCCCAGGCAGAGGGCCAAACCTCGGGCAAGTTTCCTTACTCCACACAGAGCCTAATAATAATCCTCCAAAACCAAAACAATAATAAATTGGTCATTTTCAATCCACGACTGTTTGTGGGACATTGCTGTGCGCAATCGGCCGCCGCGTTCGCCCACAAATATACAGTCAACTCACTTTACAGTGTGTTCTGTGAAGCGCTTTGGGACGTCCTCCCGACGTGAAAAGCGCTGTATCAAACGCAAGGATTATTATTATTATTATATCTCAGGAGCACAGTGTAACGTACCCCAATGTCAATGGTTTTCTCAACACAAAAATCTGTATTTTTTTCTAGTGGTCTGACCTCCTAAATACCAGAATACCCCAAGAAAGCGATTAAAATCTTCTCAAAACACACATCGGACACTTATTCTTTATTATCCTTTTTCTTTTTCTGGGGTGGGGGAGGTGGGGGGAGGGGGATTATTATCGGCCACGCGTGTGCGGGCGGAAACCTGCCCAAGGTTAAGCCCTGGCCACGACCACCGAGCCCCAGAACTCCTCCTAAACATGTGTGTGTACATACATGTGCGTGTGATACACATGCACTACATATCAGTGTATGAGTCTGGGCACACAGTGTGTTTGTGGGCGGGGACTGGAGGCGGAAATGGGCGGGACCCGCTCCAACCCCGCCCCTCGCCCTCCGCCCCCCCCCCCGCCCACCCCTCAGTAAGCAAGCCCCGATTGGACCGCCGCCTCCGACAGACGGCGCCGTCGGCCAATCGCAACTCGAGCGCCTCCCCTCGCGGGCCAATCAGCGCGGGGGCGGGGCGGGACCAGAAGACCGGCGCTGTCGCCATGGAGACGCTCGCTCCTCCTGTCGGTTGCAGCCGCTTTAACCGCGGTATATATATATATATATATAAAAACACGCACGCGCGCGCACAACAGCGGCGACAGCGCGAGAGGAGATGGAGGGGGGCCGTCGATGAACAAAGCGGTACCTTGGAGCTCCTTGCGCTCGCCCTGCTTGGCCTGGTGGTCCTTCAGCAGCCGGGACAACATGGCGGCCGCCCGCCCGCCCGCAGCAACCACCGCCTTCTCCTCCCGTCTTCTCCCTCCCGCCCTCCCTCAGCCAACTCTCGCGAGACTTCCTATCCCCCCTCCGAGTCGAGTCTCTTCTCGCGAGATTCCCGTTTCCCTCCCTTCGCCGACCCGGACGGGGGGGATACACGGCGTTCCATTCCCGCCACGTGGTCCCCGCCACGTGCGCACCGACTCACCACGTGGCTTCACACCCACACACAACCCTCTCACACACTCGCGCGTAATAATAATAATAATAATCCTTGCATTTGATATAGCGCTTTTCACGTCGGGAGAGGACGTCCCAAAGCGCTTCACAGAACACACTGTAAAGTGAGTTGACTGTATATTTGTGGGCGAACGCGGCAGCCAATTGCGCACAGCAATGTCCCACAAACAGTCATAGATTGAAAATGACCAATTTATTATTGTTTTTGGTTTTGGAGGGATTATTATTAGGCTCTGTGTGGAGTAAGGAAACTTGCCCGAGGTTTCGCCCTCTGCCTGGAATTGAACTCAGGTCTCTCGCTTGCAAAGCGAGTGCTCTAACCACTGAGCTACAGGACTCCACGTCCATTCGATATAGCATAGACACACCCACAAACACACAGACACGCACTCATTCACACATACACATACCCTCTCACGCACCCACACACACTCACAGACACACCCACACACACTCACAGATACACACTCGCAGACACACCTACATACACACTCTCTCGCAACACACAGACATTCACACACACTCACAGATAGACACACACACACTCACACACACACTTAGTGGTCAAACTAATAACAATAATCCTGGCATTCGATACAGCGCCTTATCACGTCGTTGAGACGTCACAAAGCGCTTCACAGCTCATACTGTAAAGTGTAGTGACTGTGTGTTTGTGGGCGAAACGCAGCAGCCAGTTTGCGTATAGGAATGCACGTCCCTGTGTGGGTGGCCAATTGTATTTGGGGGATTGTCAGCCGGGACACTGGGGTGGGGGAGGGAGAGAGGGAGAGAAACTCCCTTCTCTTTTCAAATAGCACCGTGGGATCTTTAATGTCCACCTGACCAGCATTCCATGTCCCAATGTTGGGGCTTGAACCCACAACCTTCTGGCTCAGTGGCGAGAGTGGTACCATTGAGCTAGGCTGTCCCAACGGGTGCGGGGAATACACACATGACGTGATAATAATAATAATAATCCTTGTGTTTTGTGGGTGAAATCCCACTCAGCAGAGCAGTATGAATGGCAAATGAAGAACACTCTTAAGAGGATTAACTATTAGTTAGCCAAAAGAAAATAAGAATTTCCTTGGTGAAGGAAGACCAAGGTCTATCTAGTTTGCCTTTCACAATCCTGGCAGTCGCTTGACATGCCATGTCCTAAACGACATACTGTATCCTGATATTATTTTCTAAGTGGATAAACATATGTAGAAAACCAAAGTGTTGTAGTTTCCAATTTACAGATTACACTGGGAAGATATTCTACCCGGATGTGGATTGCTTGTGTAATGTTGCGGAGCACCACAACTTGGCACGTTGTTGAAATCCGTTTTAGCTTTGAAGACGATTTATTTTCTTACAGAACGGAGAGAGAAAAAAAAAGGGTTCAAAATTGATGCCTCCATTTGCCGACATCTCGATGCTCCGAAATGCTATGTAAATAAAATGGATCTTAGACCCGGGTGGAATTTCTCCCTGACATGTGAGGGTAGGCATATCTCTCCCCATCGGTGTGTGAATGTTCGAGGCAGTTGAGGAGAGCCATTCATTCTTTGATTAATTCATGCATTCATGCCAGAAGAAAACTTTCCAGATCAACTACCCCCTTGTATTCAGTGACGGGGCATAAATCAGCAACACATTCACTGTTCCTCAGCCAGTTAGCACAGTTAGGGCAATGCAGAGCTAAATCAAATAACCATGTTTGATGTTGTGCCTTAGCACGTGGAGACCTCTCACACACTCAGCCAGGTTGGAGTGTAATGGCTTCTTATGTCCGGGTATTTTTGGTCACCTACGCACCCTCTCCACCACACACGCGCACACAGAGCTTGGGTTGTCAGTCAGTTGTGTGGTCGGACCAGACCTATGAGACGTCCCCCCAGCCCCCCGACACGAAAGCCGCTGTGTAAATGTAAATTGTTATCCAGTTTTAAGAATTGGCTAAAGGATGGTGTATGTGCAACGAATGGACAGACTGAATAAAACTTTTTAGCCATCCACCCCACCTTCCCAGGTAAATATGTTATTCTGTTCATCTCGCCTCCTTAAGTTACTAGCCTGTGCATCGGCAGTTTTGATGGTGATGCTGTCAGGAAGCTACTGAACGGGAGATAGAGATATAACTTGTGAAATCTGTGGGGAAAAAATTCACAAGATCACAAGAGGGGTTTTGGGGGAAAATGGCCTTTCAGCCCATTTTATCTCAATATACCAGAATGGACAACCTCCTGACCTCCCTCTGCAGCATCAAACCCTTTTTCAAATTACTTCCAGCATCGTATAATCATAGTAATCCTTGCATTTGATATAGCGTCTTATCACGTCATCGACACATCTCAAAGCACTTCATAGAATATAAAGTGAATTGACTGTATTTTATGGGCAGAACACAGCAGCCAATTGCACACATAGGTGTCCCACAAACAGTTGTGGATTGAATAACCAACTTCATTATTATTTTTCTTCGAAGGAATTATTTTCTCCGGAATTACTGCTAAGTAAACAGAGGCACGTGGAGTAAGCAAACTATATTCTGTGAAGCGATTTGAGGCGTCTCAACGACGTGACAAGGCGCTGTATCAAAGGCAAGGATCATTATTATTATTATTATTATTATCATCAACGGGAAATGTTCATTATTAACGACAGAACTGTGAAAAAGTTTCCTGAAGAAGCTGATCCTGTATTCTGTTGGTGGGACGTGTTGGGCAGAGCAGCACTAATGATATTTCAGCGAGGCACAGTGCTCTATCTGTCATTTCGTAAACAGCTGTAGGAAGACAGGGGGAAGACTGTGCTCCTTGTGACTAAGCAGCGAGCTGGGGAGGCCAATAAATAATAATCAGACTCCTCGCATTTGACATGATGCCTTATCGCACCGAAAAATCTCCGAGCCCGTCACACAGCCACTTACTTTGAACTGTTGCCTCTTATTCTCCAGCACCCACCTCCCCATCCTGGCCCGGCTCCACTGGCTCCCCACCCCCAGTTCAAAATCCTCGTCCTCGCCTTCAAAGAAGTTTGTGGGTTCACACCCCACGTTGGAAACTTGGAGCTCGCAGTCTACGCTAATGTTCCAGTGTTGCGCTGAGGTGGGGGGGGTGGGGGGCGAGTGCTGCGTCTGTGTCCTTCGGATGAAATGTTAAATCGAGGTCGCTGACTCCCATGTCGTGTTCAGGTGGACGTTAAAGATCCTTAGTTACCATTCGAAAAGAAAAGGGAGTCTCTCTCGCTCTCTCTCTCCCCCGGTGTCCTGGCCGACAATCCCTTCGGGAATAAAAACCACTTTGTGGCTGTTTGCGGGACCTTCCTGCGGGTAAACTAACAACAGCAACTGTGGGGGGGGGTCTCCCGCAAAATCTTGTGAAGGACTTTGAGACGTTTCAGCAGCACGTATAAGGCACCGTGTCAAATGAAAGGATTATAATCCATTTTAAAAAGAAACAGTGATGTGAAACCAAAGGGCCAAAAGTGTCCAGCTACATCTTGCCTGCACACGGGGTCTTTGGCTCAAGGGTCGAGAGCAAGTGAACAACTCCGGGTCTCGTTAATTATCTACACAGGGCTTTAACTTGTCTCGGATTACCCTTAACGTATCCAGGGGTGGACTGGCTATGTGGTTCATCGGGAAAATTCCCATTATTGGTTGCCAATAATTACTCGGAGCCCAACATCCGGGTGAGTGACAGCTCAGACCACCCAATCACCAGAGCTCAAGTGGATGTTAACGATCTATATTTGAGATGAGAAGAGAGTTTCCCTCCCTCTCCTGGTATCTGGCCAACAATCCGCCGATAAAATTGGTCACTCGCCCCACGACTGTTTGTGGGGACGCTGCTGTCAACAATTGGCTGCCGCGTTTCGCCCACAAAATAGACAGTCAATCCTCTTTCCGGTACATCCTGTGAAGCGCTTTGAGTCGTCTCAAACAAATTGATAAGGCGCTATATCAAATGCAAGGATTATTATTATTTCACAGTGAACCCTACGAAGCAGGTTGAGATGTCACGCGATAAGACGCTATACCAAATGCAAGGATTATTATTATTATTAATTATCTGGGGGATTGTTGACCAGGACATGGGGGATATTCTTCAAGTAGCGCGTGAGGATCTTTAATGTGCAGCTGAACAGGCAGCCTGGGTGAGATCTCATTTGCAGGATGTGCCACCTCTGACAAAAACACTCCCAGCGATGCCCCCGAGTGTCAGCTTGTGTTCGAAGTCCCCGACGTGTGGGGCTTGAACCCACAGCCTTCTAACTCCGAGGCTAGGGAGCTACCACTGAGCCCAGCTGGTGCTAGATCAGTGCGGTTATGATGAATGTCCAGATAAGCTTTGAAAAGATACAGGTTGCAGACAAGCGTTTGCATAAACCAAGCCACCGCGATGACGCTGTTTAACCCTTTGGGAGAATAACACAACAATAACTGCTCTCAGAGCTTCAGCCTGCAAGCTTTTTCCCAAGAAATCCTGCCATATGTCTGCATTTCAAGGGGATTAATGTGTCCTGACATCACCGCAGTGCATCTGTTTCACGGTTTTAGCAGCTAAAATCGATGCTGTTACAGAACCCGGCTGAGAAACCCCATAAATTAGAGCGGGTGAAATAAAAAAGTGTTGGAAATGAATTCGCAACAGGTTGCTCGAGTCTCGGGCTAAGGCTGAGTCTCGAGATCCAGCGCCTCTTCCCGTTAATTAAAATTAAAAATACATTTACCGGCAGTTATGTGATAAGGCACTATATTGAATGCAAGGCTTATTATTATTAATCCTTTCCCCCAGAATGAAAATAAATTCCTCGCTGAATATATAAATAACCTGACATACAATCTATATATATATGGAATGGAGTGACCGTGGATTTGTGGACAAACGATGTCTGAACAACGTGATTCAGGAGCTATATGTAAGTATTATTATCATTAATAATTACTGACCCATTGCAAACACTGTAATTCGAGGGCAATAAATTCGAGACGCAGATTTAAACCAGTGCAGTCCAACCCAAATTGACAAGTGTTCACAGGTGTGTGCTGCTTGCTAAGTAGCACAAATTGATTTAATAATCCTGGCATTTGACACAGCGCCTTATCACGTCTTCGAGACGTCTTCAAAGCGCTTCACCGGATATACCGTCAACTGAACTGATTGTATGTCTTATGAGCGAAACCCGGCAGCCAATTGCGCACAGCAGCGTTCCCCACAACCAGTCGTGGACTGAGTGACCAAATTATTATTATTTACTTATAAAGGGATTATTACCCCGGAAAACGATCTGAAAAGCGGTGCTACCTCCAGCACTGTGCTGTAGGGTCAGCCTAGACTGGGAGGTGAGTTGGCAAATGGGGTGGTGGTTGGGGGGGGGGGGGGTGGGGGTGCGGCAAGGGGTAGCTTTAACCCATAAGCGCTTTCGGACGTCTCGACGACTTGGCAAGGCGCTCTATCAAGTGCAAGGATGATTATTGTTATAACCTTCTGACTCAGAGGAGAAGAGCTAACTAAACCGATTTTAAAAAAAAGAGAAGAAATATGCCAGTGATATTTTGAGTCAACCGAGACTGCGAAAAATAAATCATTCATAGTTGTCCATGACATAATCTCTATCTCATCTCCTGAATACCAACAGCTCAGTCAGTCAGTTTCCATTTCCAGTGACCTATTAATAGAGGCAGTGCTCACAGTTAGATTGGATGTTATTTTGCTTCAGAGGAGTGGTAGGGTGTGTGTGTGTGTGTGTGAAATTTCTCTGTGGTGAGGGGGAGAGAGAGAGAGAGAGAGGTTGTGAAAGTTGTGAAGGGAAGGAGAGAGAGAGGGGGGTGTGTGTGGGGGAGAGGGAAAGGAGCCAGAGGGTGGTGAAGGGTTACAGGAGGTCTTGAGAGAGTTGGAGAGAGAACATTTTAGCACTGTGCAGTTGGCAGCTTCTCTCTCTCTCTCTCTCTCTCTCCTCAGTGCATAAGGGGTGGTTCAAGCAATCCCTCTCCCACACACTGTGTGTGTGTGTGAGTGAGTGTGAGAGAGAGCCCTGGGGAGGGAGGGGGAGACTGGCATCCCTGGGAGAATGCTCCCTCTGGCTCTCCTGTCCCTGCTCCTGTCTGTCTGGGTGTCTGCCTTCAACCTGGATGTTACCCACACGATTCTGAAGGAGGGACAGAAAGACAGTCTGTTTGGTTTCTCAGTGGCTTTGCACAAACAGAACAGCCCACAGGCTCTCAGCTGGTGAGTGCACAACTACTGTACCTCAATGCACACACACGGATCTGCCTCTGTGTCCCTCTGTCTGTGCTCTGTGTGTGTGTCTCTCCATCGTGTGTGTGTGTGTGTGTCTATCTACCCAGTGTGTGTGTGTGTGTGTGTGTGTCTGTCTCTCTCTATCTACTCGTATGTCTCTATCTATCTATCTATTCTGTGTGTGTGTGTCTCTCTCTGTCTGTCCTGTGTGTGTGTGTCTCTGTCCTGTGTGTGTGTGTGTGTGTGTCTCTGTCCTGTGTGTGTGTGTGTGTGTCTCTGTCCTGTGTGTGTGTGTGTGTCTCTGTCCTGTGTGTGTGTGTGTGTGTGTCTCTGTCCTGTGTGTGTGTGTGTGTCTCTGTCCTGTGTGTGTGTGTGTGTGTCTCTGTCCTGTGTGTGTGTGTGTCTGTCCTGTGTGTTTCTCTGTGTATCCTGTGTGTGTATATGTTTCTCGTGTGTGTCTCCCTGTAGCTATCTTTCCTGTGTCTCTCTCGCGTGTGTGTTTGTCTCTCTCTCTATGTATTTATCTATCTATCTATGTCTCGTTGTGTGTGTGTGTGTGTGTGTGTCTCTCTATCTCTGGTGTGTGTCTCTCTCTCTGTCTCTCCCTTCGGTCTCTGTTCGAGGGCAGAGTTTCCTGTGGTTTCTCTGTCTACAGATGATATATTTTTGCAAAGGAGAAAAAAATAGAAATAGATTTGCAGTGTTTCAGTATCTGAAGCCCTGTGTTTCTGCTGAATTCTGCATCAAAGATATGCTTTCTTGTTTCTGTCAACTTCAGTGCCTCCCACATACTGATATCCCTCTCCCCCCCCACCCCCCCAACCTCCCCCCTCACACTGGATTATTATTAGGATTATTATTATTTATGACCTTCTGACTCAGAGAGAGAGTGTGGTTGCTAACAGCTGACCCAGGCTGATATCCCACATCCCAACCCCCCCCACACACTCACACACACACACTGATAACCCCCCACCCCAACCCCCACCAAACACACGCACACTGATACGAATCAATCCCTTGATCCAAGGACATGATTTCGCCCTTGGGAGCATCTTAGCGATTTCAATCGATTGGTTTCTTCTTCCTCCCCCCCCCACCCCCCAAACCCCCACCCCCACCCCCACCCCCCCAACACGTGCGCACACAACTGAATGGAATCCAATTATAGCAGGAAGCGGTTTGCAAGGTGCAGGTTGGCAGGAGGTTTGGGTGAGAGAGGAGAGGGCGATCTTAGGCAGACATACAATTATTGCATTCCCTGTACTTCTAACGCATTGGACAGACAGAGAAGACTGACTCCGTCTATCCATCTCTCTGACTGACTGAGAGCAAAAAGGGCTGATTTGTTTTGTCTCTCTCCATGACCCAGAGGTTCTGTTTAATGGGTTCACCCTCCTACCTCCCCGCCCTCCACCCCCTCCTGATCCCGACCCCCAGCTCGGGTCCGAATCCCTGACTGTCCAGCGCCTTGGAACGTCCTCCCGATGTGAAAGGCACCGTGTAACTGTCATTTGTCGTTGTTGTTGTTGTTGTTGCAAGGCGTTCGATTTCTGACACCTTTGCAGTGTTTACACTTGTACTGAACAGTAGAACCAGAGGACACACGGCCCGCGATCGAAGTGGGGGGTAAATTCAGGACAAATCTGAGGAAACACTACTTCAGTGAGCGAGTTAACAGACAGACAGACAGACAGACAGACGGTAGAAGCAGAAACTGTCGATTCATGCAACAACAAATGAGAGAGATTTCTGTTAGGGAATAATATCTGGGGTGGGGGGCGGTGGTGGGAATACAGTGTACAGATTGGGACACGACCTGTCAAGCGACTGCCAGGAGGATGATGGAAGACGAACTGGATGTACCTCGGTCTTCTTTCATCATCTTAATAATAATCCTTGCATTCGATATAGCGACTTATCACATCGTTGAGACGTCTCAACGATGTGCTAAGCACGTGATGAGACGCTGCCGTGCGCAATTGGCTGCCGCGTTCGCCCGCTACACTTTGCAGTGTATCCCGTGAAGCGCTTTGAGACGTCGCCACGACTTGCTAAGGCTCTGCATCGAATGTTCGGGTTACGATCAGAAATCAACACTTTCCGCTCCCACTGTCCGTCGCCCTCGGGAGCCTGTTTCGTAGGTTTATTAACTCGCTCGCTGAAACGGTGTTTCCGCAGATATTATTGTTAAGTCTGGTGCGGAGTGGGCCTGAGAGGGTTAATGACCGCAGTGAGGAGATGCGAGAGGCAGACTCCGTAAACCTTGGGGTCGTCCATTAACCTTTTTTGGTAATGCAGCTTTCATACCACAGGAGCAGAGCTATTTGAGGGTCGTTAGTTGGTTATTTTCGACTGACTCCCGGCAAACACGTGTTGCCCACTCTGTTCCTTACAGTCTCCGATGCTCTCGATAGGGCTCCCGCGTCACACTCAACAACAACAACTTGAGCTTGTTTCTGACCCCGAGCTGCTGGGAGAGGTGGGTGGGGGGGGGGGGGGTGGGGAGCTGACCGTAAGCACGATCAAAGAGGGAAGGTCTTTAGGTGGGATTTGAAGGTGGGGAGGGAGGGAGGGAGGGGACAAGGATTGAGGGAGGGAGTGACAGAGTTTTGGGGTGTAGTGTGGTGACTGAAGGCACGGCCACCTATGGGGGTGGTGGGGACAGGCAGGAGGCCTGAGCAGACCACATCACTCCGCAACTTTAGTCACGTCAAAGGCACTTTGCTGGGACCTCATTGGTCCCTGTAGCTCAGGGGTTAGAGCCCTCGCCTCGCAAGCCAGAGAGGACCCGGGTTCGATTCCCGGGCGGGACAGGTCAGGGCGAAATGTTAGGCAAGTTTCCTTACTACACACACACACACACACATGGACACAGACACACACACACGCCTCTGTTTACCAGCAAGTAGGAACCCTGGGTGGTTAGATGATGAGCAGATCACTTTACGAGGGTAATAATCCCTTCCAAAAAAAAATTGGTCACGCAATCCACGAGTGTTTTGTGGGACGCTGCTGCGTGCAGTTGGCTGCCGTGCTTGGCCCACAAAATACCCAGCCGGGTGGACATTCTGGTAAGATGAGATCAAACGGCTCCGAGGGCCTTCTTCACCTGAACCACTCTCATGATGCGATGAAGGCAGTGAAGTGAGTCTCCACTTTTTATCTGGCTCAGGAGAGAGAAACTCTCTTCTCTTTTCCAGTAGTACCACAGGATCCTTAATGTCCACCCGAACAGGCAGGAGGCACGACAACAACAACAATAATAATCCTTGCATTTGATACAGTTGTTGAGACGTCTCAAAGCGCTTCACAGGATACACTGCAAAAAGGGTAGTGACTGTGTATTTTGCGGGCGAAACGCGGCAGCCAATTGTGACCAGCGGCGTCCCCACAAACAGTCGTGGGACTGAGCGACCAAATTAAGAACACCTTTTTTTTTCGGGGAGGGATTATTACCCTCGGAAACGCGATCCGCCAATCGACTGACAACCGGGTTCCTACTGACTGATTTGCTAACAGATCGACTTCAAGTTCCGCACAATCGTGTTCAAATCCCTTCTCTCTCTGGCCACCTCCCCCCCCCCTCCCCATCCCCTCTCCTGACCTCCTCACTCCCCGAATCCACCACCCGGCGCTCCACTCGACTGGCACCGACCTCCTGCTCGTCCTTCGCGTCCATCTGCTCTGCCATCGGGGGTCGCGCGTTCAGCCACTGCGCCCCGAAACTCCGGAACACACTCCCTCAATCCCTCCGCCTCGCCCCCTTATCTACTTTTTCAAGTCCCGCCTGAAGACCTTTTCGACCGAGCTTACGGTCACTTCCCCGGCCCCCACCCCGCGCCCCACACCAACCCCAGGCTCGGAATCAGGCTCACGCCACTCTTAAGCGCTTTGAGACGCTACCCTGGGTGATGGACGCTGTATATGAGTGCAAGTTGTTGTGGTGAACAGAGGCGCGCGCGTGTGTGTGCGTGGAGTAAGTCAACTTGCCTAAGATTTTGCCCTGACCGGCCCAGGGATCGAACCCGAGGCCTCTGGCTTGCGAGGCCAGGGCTCTAACCGTTGAGCTACAGGGGCTCTGTGTAGTGTCTGAGCGCGGGGGGGAACGTGCTGCAGAAATGGAACCTGGGTTGAAATACCAGCCAGCTGACCATTCCCTTTTAAAGTAACTTTTTTCAGAATGGTTTTTGGTTGGCTGAAAGCCCGCCCCACAAGAGGCTGGAGAACGGAATTCGTCTGCGTGTAATCCGGGACTTTCTCTGTGGGATCAGCCGGATTGATTATTCAGGTCTCTTGGATCCGTTCCAAAAGACGTTCATTCTGTTCCTCTCCCTCTCTCCCTTTCTCCCTTTCTCTCTGGAGATGAAGTGCGAAGGATCTGCCTTTATTTCCGCTTCTTTATCAGAACTCTGTTTGAAGGACCATCTTGCGGCATCTGTGACTGAGTAATGTATCCTCAGACCCTGCCTCAGGGACACCTTACTCGAAGGGGAAGTGGTTAAGGATGTCGTTGCCAAGCCACCATGCTATTTTCATGACAGCAAAAGGCTGAGCTTATTGACTGACCCCCCCTCCCCCTTCCCCTCTCCTCTCATCCCCCACACCCCCCCCATAAGCCGTCAGTTCTTCAGGAATTCACCGCTTATAACAAAGACGTACTGGCTACCAGAATCTCGCAGGGAATCCCTGTAGCTCAGCGAGCGAGAGGACCCGGGTTCGATTCCCTGGTGGGTCAGGGCAAGTTTCCTCACTCCCCACACACTCCCCTCTGTTTACCAGTAGGAACCCGCGTGTTAGTGGATTGGGGGGATCGCTTTCCAGGGCGAATAATCCCTTCGAAAACAGTGATAATTTGGTCGCTCAATCCACGCCTGTTTGTGGGGAACGCTGCTGTGCGCAATTGGCTGCCGCGTTTCGCCCACAAAATAGTCTTACATTATATCCCGTGAAGCGCTTTGAGACGTCTCAACGACTTGATGAGGCGC